GTGAATGCACTAATCAAAAGGTTCTAATATAGAACATTTCAGCCAATCGAAGTCGATGCAAGTCAGCCATCGCGCGGAGTGGCCGCTCCTCAACACTCGGCGACCGAAAGTCGACATGAAAATGGAATCGCTCATTCTTGGCACAGTGAAAGACGCCACTGTGGAGAGTACGAAATGCTACGCCACGTCACCGTTGGAGGCGTAGAGCCCGAGAAAACGAGGTTGAAAGGTTCAGAGCAGAGACTTTGTGAGATCTTGGTCACACAAATGTGAGGACGCATTCCTCTCGTGCCCTGGACTGTGCGTACATACAATGTCCGCGCTAGTAGTTGATTGGCGACTGCATTTGACGCTTGTGTGTCAAGGTATCTCGCATGCAAGTCCCGATAGGACGCCGCTGCACGCGTGCGACGTTGATGGACTATGGAAGCATCGCTATCGTTCTGTTACCTTCTAGTGGATTTCTTCTGCGGCACCTTACACTGTCGACCCCGGAAGACTGACGTGAAGCTTGCCGACCAAGCACCGAGGCGGCACCCATGTCCGTCACAGCTCTTGAAGAACCAACAATGATTGCAGGGCGACGTCAAGCCATATACGGCCCAGAGCGAAGTCGTTGTCGATGCCGGTACCGTTATCTAAAGACAGCTTCTAAGCAGAGCACGCGCTGAACTGGATGACGCTGTATAGCACCCTGCTTGCAATGATGCGAAAGATCACTGACGCGCTCGGCTGGTACAATTGTAGCGTCACGTCGTGCCATATCCTTGGCGCCTGAGATCCGAGCTCCTGACCAAAATTCCAACCTTCGCCACATCTGACATTGCAGTCGTCGTCGACCCGTGCTTCGTAGACGGAGACAGGTGTGCCAGTCTCGTGTTAAGGCTACTAATATGACATCGGAGAGCAACATCCCGAACGGTGAATGCAGCGTGGCGGAAGCAGGCACGAATGACATACCTTCGAATGCAACCACCATGTATATTGAGTCGCTACCTAGAGCGAATCGTGCTCGGCATGGACGCTGCTACGTTTACGCTCGCGCGGGTCCAGAGCAGGAAAAGACTGCGTGCGGATCGGCGACTCGGGTGCGCGGCCGAGCTGCTCGAGTGCTGTCGTAAGCTGCCGCACCAGCGCCTGGTTTTGCTCGTTAAGCTTCGTCTCGAGCGCGGCAAATTGAGCTTGCAACTCGGCCCGCTGTATCCCGCTTGCGTCATCCGTGTTCTTCGCGACACTTGATTGTGGGCGCTGGACCTTGGTCTCGGTCAAATCAACGGGTAGCACGAAACAGCGGTCGAGAAAGCGGTCGAGCGCCTCGTTGATTTGTGCGGCCATGATCTGCACCAGCTCGTCCGCGGTCGCCGCCGCAACAAGCCTGAATAAGATGACGCATTCGGTGCGGGCGTTCACCGCCATCTTCCGCGTGGTGGTCTCATCACTCCACAGTTTGTCAATCTTCGTACACAGCGTCTTGATGACATCGCGAATACTGGTCGCGAGCGCTTCGAGCTTGGCCAGCGCGTCGTCGCCACGGTGCTTGTCGGCCTCAGCAAACAAGCTCGTGAGTGCCTCTTCGGCGACCGCAATAGCCTCCAGCTCGGGTTGAAACCCACGGAGAATGTTGGGATCTGTGCTGAAATGCTCCACGCGGCGCAACTTGGTCGTGACGTCGTCAATGTGCTCGGCGATTGCAGCTTGAACCGTCGTCAGCGTCGTCTTATACAGTTGCTTGCGCGTATTGTCCTGCCGAATCGACGCTTCGTGCTCGGGTCGCAGCGAGATGTCGAGGTTCGAGACGACCTCGGAGAAGATCGGGTTGAGGACGCGCGCGTGGGTCTTGCTGTCGATCAGATGCAAGAGCTCTTGCGTTGCGTCGGCGTCGAGGTGCATCGACTGCTCTAAACGCAGGATGCACTGAGCGTAGCTCATGAGCGCCTCGGTCTTGGCCTTCTCGAGACCGCCGTCGACCGTCTGGTTCATCATGGCGAGTAGGACGTTGAGCAGCAGAATGCACACCACCGCCGAGTGCAGCATCATCAGCAGCAGCGTGCAATTAGACAGGAACCCATCGGTCGCGTCAAACGCGCCGAGCGCGTCCAGAGGCAGCTGGCCGAACGCAACAAAGTACGTGGTCACAAACGACGACCCAAGGGTGTTGAACGCGTCGACGTCCTGGTCGCGGAAGAGCTGGTAGAACGTGATCGTGAGACCCATTTGGACGACGCCAAAGAAGATGAAGAAGTTCCGGACGTCGTCGAGCAGCTTGGACATCATCGGGAGGAGGTAGCCGGCGGCTGGCACGACTTCGAGAAACTGAAGCGAGAGCATCCAAAGACCGATCGTGATGGCGCCGCCGACGCCCGTCTGCACAGCCCACGGTGCTGGAAGAAGACCAAACTTCATGGGTACAAACACGAGCAAGACGGCGAGGTTGGTGAGCAGCTGCGCCTGGTTGACGCGCGACGACCAGTACACTGTGGTGCCCGACGAGGCCATCTCTTCGAGCTCCGTGACGACAAAGTAGAGCGACGTGCACCAGAGAATGAGGTGGTTGCAACTGGGATAGGCGCTTGCGACACCGGACAAGAGAAGCAACGCCATGACGGGCAGCGCAATTTAAGAGAGTAAAAATCCATATTCGGACCAGACCAGCTCTGGCGCGAGCCTTGTGCTTGGGGAGGTGCGGAATTGAAGCCGAGACGTCCAGTCGGCGCTTGCCGTCGTAATAGAAGTGCGCGAGACGGTAGAGAGACGCCGGACGCAGCAGCTGCAGGACGCCGTAGCCAACGACTGTGCTGACAAACGCCAAGGTGCCCACGACCATCGGAATCCAGTTGGTTGCTACGCTCGCCTCGTCCACGAGCAGCGACGATGTGGTCATCGTGACAAGGAGCAAGACGTTCGCGAGCAGCTGCTCAAAGTACTTGCGCTGGCCAAAGAGTTCCCACTTGATCTGGAGAATACGCCGCATAACGACATGCTCCAAACATTCGGTCTTGGCGTCGAGGAGCAGCGTGGGGTCGGGCGACTGCAGATTCAAAATCGCATGCAACGCGCTCGTGTCAGCTGTCGTGCCATACACGTGCTCGAGCTAGTTGCATAGTTAGTTGATCGAATTCAGTCGAGTCGAAAGAGAGAGTCGTGTACCTGACTGAACCGCATGTCGCGACGGTCGAGCGTGACGCAGTCGTTGAGAAACATGCGGCCCAGCGCCGGCGAGCACGCAATCGCCTTGCGAAATGCTTGCTTTGTGAACGCTTCGTCCGTGTCCTTGCGCGCAAGATGCACTGCGAAAGCCGCTCGAAACTCGGGCGATCCGCGGGCTTGAACCTCCTCTTCCAGGATCGCTTGGATCTGCAGCAGTGCGTTCTTGGTCGTATGGTCGTTCTTGGCGTTGCGAAAGGCAGGCATGAGCCCCTCAAAGAGCGTTGTGCCGCCCTACGATGTCATGCGTGTCTAGTAGAATTTAGAGAGAGAACTATGTGGGTACGTTGTTGACGATGTGGATGTCGGCGTAGCGCTCGAGCAGTTGCTTGACGACATCGACGTGACCACTCAGCGCCGCGAGCCACAAGGCCGTCTCGCCTCGCTAAGCAAGTCGATTTGGATGCACAAATTGAAGTGAAAAGTGCGTACGTTGTTTTTGAGATTGACCTTGGCGTTTGCTTTCAAGAGGCAGCGGACGACGTCGGTTTGGCCCATGCGCGCTGCAAGCATGAGCGCAGTCTCTCCGTGCTACATCTGATAGGAGTCAATTCTAGTACATGGAATGCGTACCAGATCTGAGTCATTGGCGTGCATGACCTCGCTGCGCAATTGCTTCTCGTTCAAGAGTTCGGTAAGCACGCGGGGCCGCTGTTGGAACAGCACCGCTGCATGCAAGGCCGTTCGACCGGCCTACGAGATCGATCGAATTCGATTCTTGACGTGTGGTGATAGGAACGTACAGCTTGTAGCTCGTAAACAGCCTGGACGTTGGGCGCGTTTGCCTTGAAATACAAGTACAATTTCTGCTCTTTGACCTCTCTCTTGTCCATGATGAGCCGTTTGCACACTGGGTACGGCCAAACGGGCGTTTTGTCCGCGAGTTTGCCAACCTAATCACTTTATGGTAGTACAAGCCAAGCAAGACCTTCAACGCTCAGTTCGCACCAGCAAGAACTCTGGCTCGGCGCCAGCAAGCAAAAGTCGCTCGACGCAGTTGGCGTGGCCATATTTGGCGGCAATATACAGCACCGATTCGCCTCTCTAATAACACCAGTTTCAACTCGCCGAGGCAGTAGGCGCAGTCTTCACCGAGGCGATCTTCATGTCCTTCCGCGGCTGCAGCAAAAGGAGGTCAATGACATCAGCGCGGCCTTGTTCGCATGCGTTGCGCCACAGTACGTTTTCCTACCTAACTTTAAATGTGCGCAAAAAGTTGCTTCACCTACCTCATCATACTCCGTGTCGTCAATCCTCGAGGTCTCTGGTGCACGCAAAAGCTCGGTCTTAACATCGTTCCACTGATTCGCTTTGGCCAGCGCCGCGAGGTGGACGCGAAGGTCCTTTGTCGCACAACATCGGAGCCGGTGGTTACTGTGGTGCCGGAGCTACAACACGGGCCTTGGCTTCCAGACGCTATAGGTTGAGAGACGTGTACACGCTCGTCGATTCGGATCGGCATTTTGCCAAGGCGACAGAGCTCGTCGAGTACGTGCACCAACTCGGTGCTGTTTTGGCCACCGGTATTGGTGGCGCAGGGCACGCAACGCAGTGCGAGCATGTCCAGCACTGTGTCCCCTTCCTAGCGCACAGTCACATCGTCAATTGTATGGGTGGAACGATTACCTTGTCTTCTTTGAGAAGTTCCTCGGTACAGTACGGAAGCAAACACCGAAGAATGGCGACGTGCCCATTCATTGCAGCGCCCATGACGACCGTTCTGTACTTCTACTTGACATGGTTATCGACGACCGTGCAGCATGTAGCGTACAGAATCGTGGACTGCGAGGGCTTTTGTGACGACCTCTGTGGCCGCCTCCACGCGTTGCCGATACTTGAGCGCAGAGTACCACTTGCCACCACGCAGACACGTCAAGCACGGTGTGCCTTGGTTGAGGACCACCTCGTCCGA